TAGCTGGGACTACAGGCACACGCCACTATGCCCAGCTAATTTTTTCTATATATGTTTTTAGTTGTCCAGCTAACTTCTTTCTATTTTTAGTAGAGACAGGGTCTCGCTCTTGCTCAGGCTGGTCTCAAACTCCTGAGCTCAAAGGATCCGCCCGTCTCGGCCTCCCAGAGTGCTAGGATCACAGGTGTGAGCCACCGCGCCTGGACAAGAAACAATGTTAACATACATTTTTTAAAAGTTAAACACTTTAAAAATTAGTAGCAGTGTAAAAGACTCCTACCATTCATCGAGCACCTCTGCATACCTGGGGCCTGTGCTAGGCACTCCGCAGATCTCTCTGTTAATACGAACACTGCAAGAAAAAGGGCAAGAAAAGGGGCATCTCCGGAGCACCCACAGTGATGTCTGGCCCTGCCTAGGAAGGGGACAGCAGCCACCCTAGAGACCCCAGATGCTGGGCTCCCACTTGGAAGTGACTCCACTCCTGGGCTCTCAGCCTTTGCCAACCTGACCTCAGAGCCCAGGCCTGGGTCCGACTCATTCCCACCTACAGAGGCCCCAGATGTCCCTTGACCCTCATGTTTTCTCATTGCCCTCACCTGGCAGCCTGGCCTCTGGTTGGGGTCAAATTCTGGCGGATCAGGGGCAGGAGGGTGGTTGTGAGCACAAGGTCCCTGTCCCCATCTGCCTCCCTACCTCGAGCCCTCACCCATCTCCCCAGAATGGCCAGCCCGCTGCCTGCCTCAGTGCCCTTACCTCCAGGCCCAGGGCCAGGCCCACATGGATCCTGAGTCCGAGTACTGATCCCTCATTCCCTTGCCCCCCTCTCCTCCCTCACAGGGAAGCTCTGGTTCCAGGGCCACTTGACCAGCTAGAGCCTGACTTGGGCCAGACACAGGTGGGGGTTGGGAGGAAGCCCCATCCTTCCTCTGCATAACAAGGGGTGTGGGCTGCCCTCCCTCCTGACAGTTCAGCCCTTTGTAAACAGTCTCCCAATCCACATTCGCTTTCTTCTTTTGGCCTCTGGCTGGGGTTGCCAGATCTAGCAAATAAAAACACAGGACTGGTGAAATTTGCATTTCAGATAAACAGCAAATCATTTTTTAGCATAACTATGTCCCAGACTTCGTCCTGTATTTTATCTGGTAGCTCTAACCCTGGCTGATCACCGATTATTTTACGTCCCCAGAAAACTCTTCCACCAGCCCACAAATCCATATTTGGAATAGGGGGCCTGTGTCTTGAGGAAGCCTCAGGAGACTTGGGGGGCTGCCCCCCTGCCCCAGCCCAGACGCTATCACCTGGATTGAGTCCACCTGGCTGCCTTCAGAGGGCCAGGTCAGGACCAGGCTGTAAACAGCTGTAAATAGCTTGAGAGTAGGAAAGAACTCTGGTCTGGAATTGGAAGACCCAATTTCATGTGGACATTGATCATTCACCGTGTGAAGTTAGAGAAGTTGACACCTCTCTGGGCCTCAGTTTTCTCAGCTCAAAAAGTGGGGGAGGGTGGATTAGATGTTCCTTTTACCTCCAAACTCTAATTCTATGAATAGCAGGGAAGAGGGAGAGGACAAAACCTTACTGGACAAAACCCCACCGGTGCAGAATGCTCCCCAGCTCCCTGGCCTAGGAAGGCTCCCCCAGAGCAGGGGAAATGCTGGGTTTCCCAACCATGGGCCACCAGCTCAGGATCTCACTGAACACCTCCGAGCACGGGCCCTCGTTCCTGCAGGCCTGACGGGTCCTTAGTCAGAGAGCGCTGGTGTTGACTGGGCAGTTCTAGTTCCTGTGGATTGTTTGATCCTTCGTTCCAGTAAGGAACAGGGCAACAGCATACCACACACCAGCAACCGGGGGAACGGGGCCTCCAGCACGAGAATGAGATGCCCAACTTCTACTCCAGGAAACGAGCTTCTTAATTTCAGTGGGCAGGCACCCGAGCCACGTTAGAGGCTCATGACCATTACACAGACAGCAGTAGCCAGCTGTCCACAGTCCCAACGGCCCTGCCCTTTCTAGACAGCCCCCTCCTCAGGGCTCAGGGACCTGTCTGGCTGCTGAGCT